AAATTCACACTATAGATAATCAGGCACAAAAGGAGCAAAGGTCGTAAGAGACGACTTACGGTGATCCTACGACTTTCATTCGAACACTTTAGATCGCGGATAGTTCAAAACAATGCATAAGCTTCTGGTTTTGCTTGCCCTATGTGGTGCACTCCAAGATTAGCTTCGTCCTCGTTCCGTTTTCGTACGCGGAGTCAACCTGGGCTGAGACTCATGCTGAAGTATCTTGGCTGTTTGTCCAGCCCACTGACCACTGTGTCGTCAGTCTCGAAGCTCTACAGTGTTGTCATCCAAAGGGTTCAAATGGGGACGAAACCACTAATGTACGAAAAGTTCGAAGCGTACAGAAGTAGCAATGTCTCCTATGTAGCTACGGTCCGAGTGGTTAGGTAGATGGTGCTCTCAAATTGGTCAAGCAAATGTTGAGTGGTCCCCAAAAGGTATACCAACGCCTACTGAAGCTAACTAAGTTTCACTAACTTAGTGAAACTATACGTGACGAGAGTGGACAGCCTATCCACAATTTGAACAACAAAATGAGAAGACGAATATTGGCAGATGCTAGCATTTCGTATTATCTCGTCAGTACCAATACAATAACAGGGAAATCCTTTTATATATCTTACAGGGCACAGTCAAACCAATCAAATTTATTGTTGTGGTCATTGTTATCAGATTACGTCCACGGCAACCGCAGGTTGACAACTAATTGCTTTTGGACACACAAAGCTGGTCTAATTCGGCTTATCGCGACGGCCTCGGCAAATCGTAAAAGGCGTGCATTAGTATGACGTAACAAGATCCGGAAAGCTGATAAGGGATTGACCTGGTGACGAGTCGCCAAGATGTGCCTGCCTATGGAGGACGCTGGTGGCTTACGCGAACACGTATCATCGGAGGTGGATTGGGTAACTTCACGCTGAACCCAGTTTGGTAGGTGTTCCTTCACTCGGGAATCTAAAACCCGTTCGGTCCTGCCGATGTAACTGATACCGCAGTCACACACGAATTGGTAGACACAATGGGATTTGGCGCCGACGGGTTCATCTTCCTTTACTGAAGGTAAGGACAACTTTCGGGTTCTGTTGATAATTACCGCCTCCGCAGCACAGTATGTACGCTGAATGGCCGAGACAATCCGTTTGGTTATCCTTTTCGTTGCAGTGTCACCCTTGAATGGGAGCTCAATGTACACCTTCTTCTTAGGGGCTGTCAACACCATCTCCTTGGGTGGTCTAACTTGGCTATGTTTGTCTTTGAATCGCTTTGGGTAGCCATTCTCCATAAGTGTCTTAATGATCAGCTCTAACTCTTCAGCCAGGCAGTCATTGGAGCAGATACGTCTGGCCCGAGTGAATAATGTTTTTACTAGCGCGCGCTTATGTGCCATCGGGGAGAAGCTAGTGAAGTGTAGATATTGGCCGGACCACGTTGGCTTCCGGTATACAGATCGCTTAATCAGCCCATTATCCCTGCGACTCATGAGAATGTCGAGGTACGGAAGGCGCCCATTCGATTCGAATTCAAAAGTCACATTCAGGTTGGCGTGAACATTATTAAGTTGATCTACTAGTTGTTCGATTTGCATCTTTGTGGAACCGAAAACAAGGATATCATCCACGTATCGTTTGTAATACGGCAGCTGGGATATCTGTCAACTTAGTTTTCTCTCAGGCATCAGCATGAAAAAATCAGCCAGTACCGGTCCCAACGGACTACCCATAGCTACTCCGTCAATTGGGCGATACATGTTGTGGTCGAATCGGAAAGCGACGTTCTCCGTGCAAAGTAACAGGGACTGTCTCAGGAGGTCTGTCGGTATTGGTAGACGGAAATTCTCCTCTTCTATCAGGCGGCAAATGTAATCAACTGTCTCAAGCAAGGGGACATTAGTAAATAACGATTGGACGTCCACTGAACACATAACCTTGTCGGCTAGGCTGATTTGGTCTAGGTCTTCGATTACTTCAAAAGAGTCCTTAATGCTGTGCAAATTGTAGTGCTGCCTTAGTGGTGCAAGGATCCGAACTAACCAACGAGCCAATTTGTGCTGCGGGGAATTTACCATGGACAAAATGGGTCTTAGTGGCATGCCCTGCTTGTGAGTTTTTGGTAACCCGTATAGCTGTGGTGTCGAGGAACCGCTCGGCTTCAGGTGCTTGTAGGTGGTTTCATCAATTACACGATGTAGGAGAAGCGTTTCAAGGTGTCGGGTTATACGGGCCTCTAATTCTGTCAGACATTCTATCTTGTCGGTGTGTTGAAACTTGCTTTCATCACTTAAAACGCTTAGCATTTTTCGTACGTAATCATCCTTGTTCATGACAATTGCTCCTGAACCTTTGTCCGGTATTAGTACAACCACTCCCTTATTTCTCAGCTCTCGTAGTGCTTTTAAATGACGGCTTGTGTGTCCAAAAGCAATTAGTTGTCAACCTGCGGTTGCCGTGGACGTAATCTGATAACAATGACCACAACAATAAATTTGATTGGTTTGACTGTGCCCTGTAAGATATATAAAAGGATTTCCCTGTTATTGTATTGGTACTGACGAGATAATACGAAATGCTAGCATCTGCCAATATTCGTCTTCTCATTTCGTTGTTCAAACTACTGAAGGGGACTAACTGTTTTAAATATCCACAATTTATCAAAACGCCTGGAACGTTGGGCTGAGCACATTGAAAGGCAATTTAATCGGTCGGAATTGTTAGATTTCTCGCCGACCAGTGATCACCCTTACTCCGTGGGCTGTTCCATTGGATCCACCCTCTCGCTCAGAAGCCGAACATGAGATCAAACTGTGGAAGTTAAATAAAGCTGCGGGACCTGATGATCTTCATCCAGCCCTTTTCAAATTAGGGAGACCTGCTCTTGTGGATGATTTACACGAGTTACTAGTGAGACTGTGGGAGCAGGAAACTGTACCAACCGACTGGAGCCGCTCCATCATAGTCCCAATTTTCAAAGGAGGCTCATGATCGGAATGCGGCAGCCATAGAGGAATCAGTCTAATCTCCATCGCCTCCAAATTGCTTGCCGCTGTCATCCTTCACAGACTGACTGGCACTCGTGAAAGCCAGATTCGTGAAGAGCAAGCTGGATTTCGTCGAGGTCGTAGCTGCATTGACCACATCTTCACCTTGCGTCAGTTGTTGGAGCACCGTCACATGTATTGGCGGCCGACCGTTGTCGTGTTCCTCGATATCAAATGCGCATTCGATTCGGTGGATAGACATGCACTTTGGGACTGTCTACTCAGGAAAGATGTACCTGAGAAATATGTGAATATTATCCGAGCATTGTATGCGCGTAGCTCTGGCAGAGTGAGGACTTACGGCAAGTTGTCGTCGCCGTTTAATATCTCCAGCGGCGTGAGACAAGGATGCCCGCTGTCACCTTTCCTCTTCAACTTCGCTGTTGACGAAGTCATGGAAATCGCGTTCACAGGACACGACTTAGAAGGTGTGTACCTGCTCCCAAGAGAACGACTTCTTGACTTAGAGTATGCTGATGATATTGCCCTCACCTGTGACAGCTCACAAACGTGCCAAGCGGCACTGGACAGATTAGCACTAGCTGTCCGTCACTTCGGGCTTTGCTTCGCACCCTCGAAGTGCAAAGCGTTCCTCCAATATTGGCAGGGATTGCCTCCTACGCTGACCCTTGGTGGGGATCAGCTAGAAGTCGTTCAAAAATTCCACTACCTGGGAAGTTGTATCAGCGCCCGTGGGATTGAGGATGAAATCACGAATCGTATAGCAAACGCTCGGGGCGCTTTTGCTAACCTTCGCCACTTATGGTGCCGGCGCGACATCACTCTTGCCCTGCAAAGTAGAGTGTACAATGCAGCAGTACGTTCGAGCCTATTGTACGGTTGTGAAACCTGGCCGCTTAAAGCAGCGGACCTGAAGAGGCTAGTTACGTTCGACCACCGGTGTCTTCGTAATTTAGCTCATATTTGGTGGGAACACCGTGTGAGTAACGAGCGTGTTCGACGCCTTGTTTATGGCACAGGAAAAGGAAATGAACCGTTCAGCACCGTTATTTCACGCATCAGGCTCCGATGGCTGGCCCACGTGTTACGCATGCCAGCCCACCGACTTCCGCGACGTGCGTTGTTTGCGTGCCGGGGGTGTGGATGGAAGAAGAGGAGGGGTGGCCAAGCGATGACTTGGTCGAGAGGAATGAAGGCCCTTACTTCGAAGCTGGCCTCGGTTGGAGCGTCTCGACTCCCTGGTTGGGGTCCGAAAGACGATGAACACGTTTGGTTGGACACACTTGATGATATGGCTATGAGCCGACCTCAGTGGCGTTCGTGCTGTGAGTTTCTTTGTCCCACCCCATCCCTCTTAGCCTCCCCCTCCAACCACGATCTCATTACTTAGCCTTATATAATTTTGCATAATAATTTTTTTTGGGTGCACAGCAGCCGGCTGGTAGCTTACCGGAACGATGCCCATTCGTTACCGGTAGCTCAGCCAGCTTTCACCAGTTGTTTTTTCTCTCCTTTTTTCTTTGTATTGCGGCACAGTAGCTGAGGTGTTTCCCACCTCTAGCTAACGTGTATGATGATGATGATGATGATGATGATGACTGAAGCTAACTTATAACACCAATTCCAGAGACAGCCACTTGAAGCTGAGTGAAAAATACACCTGTCTAAAGTAAAAACGGAATCATTTTCATTGCGGGTCTACCAACCCTGACTCTGGCAAACGGCCATGTTATGAGCTGGAACATTTAGCTAGGTAGCTTAAGCAGTTGAAAACTTGTATGGATTACGTCCTGTTGTTAGGTGTTTCCGAAATAACTGAAACGCATTTCACGTGATGGCCTTTCATTACTTCTGAATATCTGTTGCTCTTAATTAATCAATACGATTTATTGAGGCTACTGTACTGTTGAAATTCGGTCAGAGAGACGATGCAAAATATCGATCGTTGTCCTGAGTAGGCTCGGGGTCAGGTTAAAGTTCAACGGGCGGGTTTTCTAGTTTGCTTGAATTGCCTTGCCTAGTTTTTGATTGTCGAATGACCTTATGTAGGCACATTATTCATTCGAACCAAGGGCGCTTGTGAACTCTATCAGCACGTCCTACAGCATTTCGCGTCGGTACACGTCGACCACACGGTCCACCCTCTGAACAGCGAATTCCGCGTAGTGAATGAGGAGAGGGATGTCCTTCAACTCACAGAGTTCCAGTAACAATAATGCTGAAGTCGTTGACGACAGCTTGTCTTCAAAGGCACCTGAAGATATTATCGGCAAAATATCCGATTTGATGAAGGAGGTTCTAGTTCCGGCAAAACGTATTGGAGCCATAGTTGAACTACACAAGCTGGAGAACAGTATCCCGGAGTTTGGGCATGCGCTATACTCTCGTCCCGCTGTACTTTCTGCAATACTGCTCATTGTTGTGCAAAACTATCCGCAGCTAGCTGTGCCACTTTCCTCTGAGCTAAAAGAAGTAAGTGTATCTTACTGGAAAGTTGGTTACCGGTCACTGCTACTTTGAACTTAAGTGGTTTTCGTCTTGACTAGCTTAACATTTCTTGAGAACGATAAAGTACCTCGAGTGGATTGTGCCGCCTAACCGAGGGTTTTAAGCTGTCCTACTAACGATGCATCGGAGTTTCACAGATACACTATTCGGTCTTACCTTTCTCGTCGCAACTCTGGGTAAGAATATCAGATGTTTTCAGAGGCTGTTGTTTTTATAGGTCGTTAACTCGGACAATATTTCCTTAAGGAGATATACGTTGTTTTTGATCAAGTATCTATAAGAATATTGTTAAATTTACCATTTTGTTATGTAGAACGCATATGTGCAGATCGAAGGCATATATTTTTACTCGGTTACATTTCCGTAACATTAAATAAAAGGTTCAACCGCGTGAGTGCTCTACTCATTAGCTCAAGACAAACATCACGGTAGCAATAAAGTGGTGGAAATCCATTGCTGATAGAAACACGGTCCCTGATTTACAGATTAGAAAAGATTCCTGTATTCCTTTATCAGCCTCAAATTTGTGTATCGGCAGTCGTCAAGAACGAGGCTTTGGTTCAAGTTATCTGACTACAGTTAACCAAACGAACTAAATTAGTAAATAAATAAGTAAATAGTATGTTCCTCGGTGATTCGAGGTGCAGTCCAACTATGTGGTCTGATCAATGTGTACAACAGGATCGCAAAATAATAATCAATTTGTTCACGCTTTTTACAATGGATCCAAAACTAGTACTAAAGTAATTGGCAGAATTAAGTCATTAAAAAAAACAGGAACAATAACATATGCAGATTTAAACAGATGTCCAGTTAAAGTAATACGGCCAGTCGTGGAACCATCCCCAGGGGACCTGCTTCCATGCAAGGTATTCCCTCGAAAGGTTTCGCTCACACTTCCATGCAATACCTGGCCGCGTGCCGGTGTGGCATAGTAGCATATGAGCCATCACCTGTTTATCATATGTTCTGTTCTTTTTAGGGCTGCTTTTATACATGTATTATGAGCCATGAAGCCTCAGTCCAGTCCGTCATGCGGATCATTCTATTATGGCACTTTTTATACGTCAGTCAGTTGATGGTAATTTGCCTTGCATAGGTAAGATCTTTTATAATCTGGAAGCTATAATCCGTCACCACAGGAGATCAGCTCAGTCGTGGCCAACAAGGAAATAAGGAAGGATGTAGAAAAGAAGAATTATGTGAAAACCATATCGTTAATGTAAACAATGGGGAGGTATGTTTTTACATCGGCGTAGAAATGGATCGAGCCGATCATACGATCAAATTGTGTGGCGTGACAGCCGGAGACAGATAACTGTACGAGTCGTCCATAGGCAAAAGTCGCATAGGGAATCAGTTATTGCCATCACTGAATTCAAGTAGATGTTTCTGGACTGTTAACTTCGGAAAAGAAGGGGAAATGATTAGCACTGCAGAACAAATGTAGCGAAGGGAATCGCAGGAAAATATTACGAATTGATCAATTTGTGGGGAAAATTATGAAAACAGTTCCTGACGTCACACCAGTAAATAATTTTGCTCTCGGTTTTAAATAGAAGACAGTTGGTATGAATTAATTTTGAAAGGAGTAAAACCGCATAGGAGGAGCATTAAAGAATAGCATAAGAAGCGGTTAGTAGCAGCTCATCCTAGATGATCATGTTTTCTCTGGTGCATTCGAGTCGGTGTTCTTCGGAATCATACATGATCCGGCCCTTCTTCATACAGCTTTTCATCATCAAGTTCAATTTTTAAAATGCATTTCACTCTGTCCGTAGACAGATAAGCCTTTATCATTTTCTTGAACATGCAAAGATGATCAATACGTCTAATCTCTTTTGGCAGCTTATTCCATATGGAGCAATACCTAAGAAGATAGAAATTTCTCCTTAGACTGCTCTTGAATTTAGGTAAATAGAATATGCATTCACTATCTCGCAGTTCTTAACTGGTATTTTCCCGAAAGTGCAATTGATAGGTTCCAGCATATGCTTTCCGCCACAATGAACAATGATTTCTCACGGGATAAAAGCAAGTGCTTGACACGTCCCATAGGATGGTAGCGGTGAATATGATGCAATTAAAATATGTCTGGGTCATCTATCGAACGTCTGCCGAGATGAATAATTTGATAATTAACGTCAGTGTAAAATGAAAAAGAAATATCGCGCGTAAACATTCAGAAAGACACTGGGGCGCAATGATAGTTGAGGTAAGGAGTGAGAAAATAAAATATGGTCGCTCACTTAGGTCCACTTGATACATTAGTCCTGTTGAAAACATGCTTGGCGTAATCCACAACAGAGGAGCTTAGGTAACAAAATGTTTGGAGCTGAGAGCAACATCTAATCGTTTTTTGAAAACATCCAGGGTAGGAGAGGATACTACTGAGTCTGGGAGTGCGTTCCATGGTTTGCAAACCCGAAAGGAAAAGTAATTCCATCGACACTCTAGACGGCTGTATTGTTCCTTCAACTTTAAGCAGTTACCCCTGAGCTGCGTGTTGTGGCTAAGCTTCAGCAAATGGCGGCATACGTGGTTGGGGTCACTCAATATCTGATACGCTGCGCAGCCGCGCAGCCTGCGATAGCGTCCGCTGAAAATTCCCAGCAACTTCAGCCTTCGGTGGTAAGAGTGATACCGCAGGCCGTTCACGTTCTTTGTTGCTGTCCGTTGTGGTGCCTCTATCGCTTCTAGGTCGCGCTTCAACCAAGGTTGCCAAGCTTGGATTGCGTACTCAATATGCGGGCGCCCGTAGAAATTGAGCATCATTGGGAAGATTGATGGGTCAAATCTCCCGAATGGTTTCCGCCACGTGAGTTTGTGGAGGAAGCACAGATTTAATTGCATTCTTCGTAACCACAGAGGTTCAAGATTCAACTGCTTGCACCTATCTCGGTATGAAAGAGCGGTTGAATAGCGAAATAAGCGCTTCGTAAAGGCGCGTTGGACGTTTTCAATGGCTCTCAAGTCACCCTTTCGCAAGTTACTGAATGTAACACAGCAATATTCAAGCAAAGGCCAGATACTGATTTTGAAAGCAATTAGTCTGGTTTGTTTCAAGGTTAGCAGGTGGCATATGAGACCGACCGACTGCTTAGCCTTTTTCACGATATGATTTGTATATTCGCTAACGTTTAACGAACTAGAATATCATAAACCTAAGTCAAGAACATACTGGCTGATGGGAATGACTTTGTCATGAAGCCTGAGCACTTCTGTTGCTACTTGACATTCATACGCTAGAATACTACACTTCGATGTTGCAAATGTCATCTGCCACATATCAGCCCATCTCTCAATGGCTTTGGATATTGTCAAGTTCAGCGGTACGCTGAAAACCTGGGAACGTGTAAACCACCTTTAAATCATCAGTAAACAAATAAGGCTTCCCAAATTGTATAACAGAAACGAGGTCATTTATATACGATAGAAAGAGTAACGGATCTGAGACACTGCCCTGTACCACTCCACTGGTGACCAGACGAGGTGAAGAGATGTAACCATTGATATCCACAACTTGCGACCGTCCTACTAGGTATGATTGGATCCAAGAGTTAAGCGGATTTGTAACACCGTACTTACTTAATTCATACAGCAGCTTTTCTGTGTGGGACTCTGTCAAACGCCTTTGCATGTCTAGGAAGATGACAATACAGTGAAAACCTGAGCCAATTGCTTCAGTTAGATGGTAAAGGAAGTCAACTTGACAGGTAACACACGAGCGGGACTTCAGAAAGCCATGCTGTGAAGGTGAGAGAAGTTTGTGCGATATTAGGAATGAAACCAAATGTTCCTTAACAATTCTCTCTAGCATGCGTGAGAGAATGGCTGTGTGACTAATGGGGCGTTAGTTCTGGATGTCCGTTTTTGACCCGGACTCATGTCGCGGTATAACCGTAGCCGTTTTCCAACATTCGGGATATCGAGCAGACTGGAGAGACAAAGAGAAGATATCTAATAATATAAGAGGGATGTCATCTCTACCGTGTTTGACTAAAGCAGAAGAGATCCCATCGGGGCCAGGTCTGTAGGATGGTCGTAGACAAGTAATCATACGTTTTATCCTAGCAACACTAAGCTCGATCGCTGGGACTTGTTCAGAGAAGTGAAATGTGGTTGAGAATTCCAGAGTTCGTTTTGCAAGATTAAAGGATCTAGCAAAATATGAGTTAAAGGCTTTTGCCATGGCAATTGGGGAATTAATGCATTCGCCTTCAGGCATGACGATGTGGGAGTGTAGGTCAATTTTGCCACCTCTCCTTTTTCTCAGTGATGCAGTCACAGGTTGACTTGTATTACTACTATTTTCAGTCCGTTGTTCTTCCTGCATGAGCGGGTGTGGTGTTTCATGTCCGTCTCTATTATAAGTCGTTGGAGTTTCAGTAATACACCGAAGTCATGAGTAAGTTCATATGTTCGAGTTAGCACTCGTAATTTTCCGCTTGTCCTTTGCGTTGTTAGCGTAGTTAGAAGAGGCTCTCGTATTATCACAGGAGGCAAGTATGCTTAAGCGTATAGTCACATTGTCATAGAAGATATCAGAGGCTCCCTTAATGTCAGACGAAAGAAAGAAATGGCCTCAATTTTGGACCCTAAGCAAAGCGGAGAAATCTACCCAATTAACATTTCGCAGGAAGTGTGGAACCATCGCAGATCTCACGTGCGACGACTCAGGTATAATTTTACATCCGATAATTTTGTGATCACATCCAGTGAGACCGTCAATTACATCAGTAGCTATCTGGGAGGGGCCAGAGGTAAAAGGTAGGTCTAATATAGTTTTTCCCTTGGTGGCCACGAGAACATGCTGCTCCCAACCACCAGTGATGACGGAGGGGATGTTCGCGGATGGGGGCGCGGGGGGGCTCGTTGGGGGGTACTGATGTGTTTCGGGGTGGGGGTTTTAGTGATACTCGTACGATCGGGTTCTGTATGATCTTTTGTGAGTTTTGTGGTTG